AAAATTTTCGAGCATTACCCTTGACGGCCAGCTCAAGCTCTTTTTAGCAGATCCGTCGTGCTTCGCTCTTCAATACTCCGTATATATTCCATCCCGCACGTAGAGTGGTCTCAGTGGTAGGCAATCTGCTCTCTCTCCACTCAGGAGACTAGTTTTGGTAAAACATTGGCACACTTTGCTCATAAATGAAATGACCTTTCCTGGCTGCTTATCCATCCACTTGGACTCTGTAATGAATTTTAGGAAGTCATATAATTTAGTTTCCGCCATAACGCAAGGTTCTCCATAATTCGGCACAGCTTGAATCGTCTCCTTTTCAATATAACTTCTTTACCTCATGCAGCGCCTTCTAATACGCTGTCTTATCAGGCCGAGTGCTAACCATCTGATTTCCATCTGTCCCATTTCGGCCAAGTTTTTTCTGGCAATTGATAGCTCGTCGCAGTGGTTCGAAGTTGGGTCCCAAGACGATAAGGCAATATAAGTGAGTTAACATCCATTGTTAAATGATTTAATACACCAAATGAACCGGTCGCGCTTGGATACAACAGATGTCAAGTTGAACTCTGCATTTCTGTCTCTCAAAAAGGTGCAGATTTTCAACTTAAATTTAATTAATTTCAGTCGCTGTTAAACAATTATTTTTTCCTTAATAAACTCAGAATTGGCTTACAAAACCACTGAGCTCAAAGTCGTTCAAGTGAACTTTGCAAACAAATTCTCATACACTTTATTACTTAACAAATAGGCCTTTGGAATACATATTTATAGACGGCCTCAGCGTTTTCCATTATCTATTTACCATTTTACTTTTTATTTATATTTCGATTATTTTTTGTTTAGCTTATTCTTTATTCTTTATTCTGTTTACTTTGCCCGCTTTTGGCCAATATTATAATTTAACGCTATTGCCATTGCCGCAAACGCTGCGACTGCCTAGGCGGCCGTCCAAGCTCATGGATGGCTCCTCCTTGAGTAGCTGCTAACCAACGCTAACCGCTGTACACTGGCCGCACTTGCTCTTCTCTCCTGCAAAGTAAGCGCAAATAAATTCCGAATAATATTGCAAAAGTTTTGCCACCGCGACTGTGGCGAGACGAGACGTGAGCCGCTGGCATATTCTTCGTATACCGTTATACCGTTGCATCAGCGCAACAGCCAACTAACTAGTTGCTAATGCCAATAGTGAAGGAGCCTAAAAAACTTTTCGAGAAATGTGACCATGCAGCGTAAGTTTTCGCTTCGCAGCGCACATTGTAAGACCGAAGCGAAGAAATTGGATTTCGCATTTCGTGAGAATGTACTGAAAATTCGATTGAAAATTTGCATCTTCGGCCCACATCCACATTATAACCGCTACATTGGCGGTTGATTTCATTGTGTACCGCCGCTACACGCCCTACATAACGGCTGCCCAAATTTTCCAATCAGTTTTAGATATTCTTGTGGACTCAGTCCGCTACTCGCCTGCAACCTCCCTTTAATCCAACTCTATTGTTTACATTTATTTTCGCCAGCAATTTAGTAAATTTGATTTGACGTTTCCCTCAAAAAACGCAATAAGAGTTCCACAACTAACAACAATCGGTCGGTGTGTTTGCGAAATATCAGGAAATTGGGAAAAAAGAATTTGTGGTGATCATCAAACAGAAACCTTGGTGATTTTCATAATTTTTATAAATAAATGAACTAAAATACAATAGCGTACGATAAGGAATGTCCACATACATATATACAAGTACATAAGTCCAAATTAAATTAAAAAATATTAAATTAAAAACAACAACAATCAAATAAAAACAATTGGAAAAAAACTAAATAAAATAAAATCATCCAAATTAAAAGAATAATATAATAGAATAAATATGAGAAAAAAACAAATTTATTATTAAATCACATAAATTAAACTAAATTAAATAAAATCAAACAACATTAAATAAAAAAAATTAAATAAATTTTTAAAATAAATTAAACAAAATAGACAAAACGAAAAAAGTAAATAATAAAATAAAATACAATTATATAACAGTATAAAAAAATAAAATAAATTATATTAAACGAAATAAGATAAAATGAAAAATAAAAAACTGAAATACATAAAATAAAATTCATAAAATAAAATATAATAAATTTATGTAAAAAAAAATAGATTAAATTAAACAAAATAAGATTAAATGAAAAGAATTGAAAAAGAAGTAAAAATTTAAAATTATTATAAAAAATTAATTAAATTAAATTATATGAAATAAAATAAGTTAAACTAAATTTAACAAAATAAAATAAAATGAAATGCAATAAAATTTGTATAATAAAATAAATTTTAAATTAAAAATATTATATAAAATGAAACAAAAAAATTAAATAAATATTTAAATTAAATTAAACAAAATAAGATTAAATGAAAAAAATTAAAAATAAATAAAAATAAAAATATGTAACAGTATAAAAATTAAAATAAATTAAATTAAATTAAACAATAAAAAAATAAATTAAACAATAAAGATATAGATGAAATGAAATAAAATAATAAAAAGAATACATAAAATAAAATAATATAACAGTATAAAAAATAAAACATTTTAATTAAATTAAATTATGCAAAATAATATAAAATGAAATAAAATAATATTATATAATAATATAAAAAATTAAATAAAACAATAAATTAAATTAAACAAAACAAAATAAAATAAAATGAAAAATAACAAACTTAAATACATTAAATAAAATACATAAAGTAAAATGTAATAAATTTATGTAAAATAAAATAAATTAAATTAAACAAAATAAGATAAAACGAAAAAAGTAAATAACAAAATAAAACAAAATTATATAACAGTATAAAAAAATAAAATAAATTATATTAAACTAAATAAGATAAAATAAAAAATAAAAATCTGAAATACATAAAATAAAATATTGTAAATTTATGTAAAAAAATAGATTAAATTAAACAAAATAAGATTAAATGAAAAGAATTGAAAAAGAAGTAAAAATTTAAAATATTATAAAAAATAAATAAAATAAATTAAATTAAATTATATAAAATAAATAAACAAAATAAAATTAAATGAAATAAAATAAAATAAAATATGTATAATAAAATAAATTTTAAATTAAAAAAATTAGATAAAAAAAAATAAAATATAAAAGAAATTAAACTAAATTATATAAAATAAAACGAGTTAAACTAAATAAACAAAATAAAATGGAATGACCGTATAAAATATATAAAATAAAATAAACTTGTATGCAATAAAAAAAATTAAATAAAACAAAATAAAAAGAAATTAAATAAAATCCATTAAATAAAGTTACATAAAGTAAATAATAAAAAATAAATTATATTAAAGATAATATATTAATATTATTAATATATTTAAAATGAAATAAAATAAAATATATAAAATAAAAAAAATTATATGAAATATATAAAATAAAATAAAATGATATAAAATAAAATTATGTAAAAATAAAATGAAATAAAGTTAAATACCTTAAAAATAAATAAATAAAATAAATACAGTAATATAAAAAAATAAAATGAAATGAAATAACATAAAATATAGTAAACTAAAAATTAAACTAAATTCAAATAAAATAAACTAAATTATGATATTTATTTAATTCGAATTATATTAAAAGAGAATGAGTAAGAATTAGAGAAAATAAAATAAAATGAAATAAAAAAAAATAAATTAATGATACATAATAAAATAAAACGAAATAGAAAAAAGTAACAAAATAAGTTATTGTAAAATTAAAAAAAATTAATAAAATGAAATAAAATAAATTGCAAAAAAATAAAATTAAATGAAATAAAATTGTATATAATAAAACAAAAATAAATTAAAACAGCATAAAAACATAAAAGATATAAAGAAATAAAAACAAAATAAAATACAATATATAAAAGGATTAAATAAAATTCAATTATATTTAATTAAGTTTAAGTAAAATGCAATAAAATAAAATTTACAAACAAATTTATAAAATAAAAATGATAAAATAAAAATTTAAAAATTAAATAAAATAACATAAATAAAACAAAAAAAAAATTAAATGAAGTAAAATAAATTACAATAAAATAAAGTATATTTAAACATATCTAAAAAAAAGTAAAGAAATGTGTAATAAAATATATAAGTATTGCTAAGCCAAACAAATAAATTTATGTAAAGTAGATAAAGTACAATAAAAAAACAATTTAAATTAATTTTAGTTTTTAAATATATTACTAATAAAGTACAATAAGTTAATAAAAAAACTTAGAATAAAATTAAATAAAACAGAATAAAACAAAAAAATCAAAACAAAATAAAAGGTCTAAATTCAATGAAAACAAGAAAAATTACTTGCCGGCAGTCATATGATATTGTCTTCCGATTTCGAAGATTTTTGGTGGCAGTGCTTATTTGTACATACACATGTATAATACCAAATCTCACGCTGCTATATGCTTTATTTTACACATTTTCAACAAAAAACCTCACGTTTGTACCAAGTCAGCTTGAAATATCTCAAAAGTTGAGGGACTAATTTGCGCACAAGCAGACGGATATGGCTAAACCAGCTTCTCCTTCTGGTATTTGCATACTTCGGACCAAAATTAAAACACCATTTAATGATATTATAATAAAAAAATGAAATTTTCACGAACAAAAAATAACTTAAAAGAACAGCTGACTACTCTCAGGTGTTTTGTGATGGCTTGCAGAAGAGCAATTGCGGGCTTTCTTTATTGATATTGGAATGCATATTGCCATACTCAACTGAAATCAACTTCTCCTGATATATTGCCAAATTAAAAACTCCATTACATCTATTTTTTGAATAATTTTTTATTCTTGCTTGCATCTTAAACTAAATTCTACAACTAACGATTGCATGTGTGATTATATCTTTCGAACAAATACAATAACAAAAATTTCACAACACTCAATTTCATTTGCGTTTCAATTCATATCTTTTCGGGAGAGATTACATTTCAATGATTCAATTTATTGACGATGACGGTATATGAAACGACGCACAGTCTTATACCGATAACCGTCTTGAGCCAACTCGGCACTTTTCACCTCGGGCACTTCAGCAATATCATTGCTTGGTGGCAAATATTCATTGCTGGGGACATCAGCACTTTCAGCAGCGGCAACTTCTTCAGCGGCTTCAGCATCGCGACGATGACGACGGAACTTCAGACGACGCACTGCCTTATAACGATAACCATCATCACCTAAAACTGTCTTCAATTCCGGCGCCAATTCAACTTCGACGGGCGGCAAGTATTCAGCCGATGGCAATGAAGTCAATTCAGAGACATCACGACGATGGCGAGCACGGAATTTCAAGCGCCGTACAGTCTTATAGCGGTAACCATCATCAGCGATGCGTGTTTCTGCGCCCTCTGGTGGTAAATATTCAGCAGTGGGTTCAGCAACTGGTGGCAAATATTCGACGGAAGGAGCTTCACGACGTTGACGACGTACCTTGAAACGTCTCACTGTCTTATAGCGGTAACCATCATCGGCCACACGTGTTTCAGCGCCTTCCGGTGGTATATATTCGACGGAAGGTTCAGCAACTGGTGGCAAATATTCCTCTGATGGCACTTCACGACGGTGACGGTACTTCAGACGACGCACAGCCTTGTAGCGATAGCCATCCTCCGCAAGTGGTGCAGTTGCGTCATCACCGACTGGTGGCAAATATTCCGTAGATGTTTCGACACCTTCCGCAGGTACGAATTGAGCAATAGCCAGAGGGGCTAAGCATAGAACGATGGCAACTGCGAAGAGTTTCTATGGGAATAGAAATGAAATACAATAGTTATACATTGGCATATCGACTAATTCAGCAGGAAAGCTGGACAACGACTATGAGCTCACCATTGTAAACTTCCTTGACGAGTTTTACTTGTAACTATGGAACTTAACACTTCGCCGATGTTAAGCTCACTGTGGCTGTTCTTTGGATGGTGTGAATATTTATTTATAGCCAAACGTCTCATATTCATCGAATAAATGAAATATAATAGAAATATGAAAAAAAAAACTCAATGCTTAATATCTTAAAAAAATTGATTCAAACAAGCTCGCCGAATAGCAGTAAATAGTGATTACCAAATAAAAAATATAGCAAAATAGAAACATCAAAAATGGTCATCACTTGAATTAAAGTTTGAGTGCCCAAGTTATTAAAAGACGCTGTTGAGCGAGCTCACAAATTTTGGATTTAATCTTCCTTTTTTACATTTTTAAATTTAATGACGTCATTGGCACTTGAGAACAAACTTCAAAGAATTATTTTTAAATATGTATCAAGTTTTTAAAGTGGAATTCGACTAATCGATGTGTGCCAACTGCAATGAAATAAATTAATTTGGCAAAAACAACCAACAATGATAATTCAAAGCGATTACTCGATACTTTTCCACTGACGTAGACACCGCATACGCAATTATAGCCGATTTAGAAATAACGCGCATTTCACCCATCGTGCTGTGGGCGCCATTTGGAAATATCAAGGCTAACCAAGCCACTCTACACCTGATTCTTTCAATGGAGTGGAGGTCTTCCTCCACCTCTACTTCCACCGGCGGGTACCACATCGAATACTTTCAAAGCTAGAGTATTCTTATCCATACGGACGACGTGACATGAACCGCTGTCTCTTCATCGTTGAAATATTTAAGTCAATATCATCGCATAGCTCGCACGGCTTATCTTTCCACCACCTGCGGTATTCGCCGTTACCATGCGCTCGAAAACTCTCAAAGCCCCCTATCGGATGTCCACATCGTCCGCACTCTAACACCATCTAACAGAACGATAATGATGAGGAACTTGAGATGCTTGGTCGGGACAGACTTTTCTATTCAATGCCCAAAGTAGCGCCTGTTAGCAAGAGTAACTCTGCGTTGGATTTTCTGGCAGACATTGCTGTTGGTCCTAATACTGGTTCCAATACTGATGAAATTATCTACAACTTCAAAGTTATGACTGTCAACGGTGACATGGGGGCCAAGTTGTGCATGCATTGGCTGTTTGTTTGACGAGAGGAGATATTTTGTCTTGTCTTCGTTCACTACGAGACCCATACGATTCGCTTCTTCATCCGGTCTGGAGTAAGGAAAACTAACGGCGCGGTTGTTGAGGCTGAGAATTTCAATATCATCGGCGTACACCAGTAGTTGTACACTCTTGTAAAATATTGTGCATTGGCTATTTAGCTGCGCAGCTCTCATTATTTGCCCCAGCACCAAATAAGCGCATGATAAAGAGTTGCACTGTCTGAAGCCTCGGTTANTTCTTCTTCATTAAAGATTTTCGTAAATCAAATATAGACATACAGGGACAGCTAGGACAAAAAGAGTTTTCGTATTAAAATCCGAATGGAAAACTTGACATAAAGAGTTGCACTGTCTGAAGCCTCGGTTAGCACCGAGCGGCTCGGAAAGTTTCTACCCAACTCTGTCTGCGCTTCTGACTATGTGCAAGGTCTGTTTACACAGCCGTCTAACTTTTACGGGGATATCAAATTCTGTTATGGCTGCGTAGAGGCAGCTTCTGACCACACTATCGAAGGCTGCTTTAAAATCGTTGAAAAAGTCATGTGTATCAGTGGGACTTAGTCTTGGATACATTACCGCATATGCGGCTGCCGCGATAGCCGTGGTTAGCATTGCGTACTACAATTCGGAAGATCAGGACCCAAATCCTGATGTCGTGCTAACATCCAAAAAAGTTATAGAAGTTTAATTTAAATAATAAATTAGGCTAAATTTTCTAATTGCGGTCGCTCCCCGGCAGGGAATGTCAACCGCCTCCGGGTATATTTCTGACATGAAATAAAAGCTCATCATAAAAAAACCATCAGCCATTCGGAGGCGGCTTAGTATAAACTGTAGGTACCCACAAATTGGAGGAGGATTTCGGCTGAAAATCGCTTCAGCGTTTGCAAAGCGGCAATTAAACATTTTTACATATATAAACTCACGGTAATTGATGCAGACCGTAGGGACCTCTTTTTTATGAATTGGGCAGAGCACACTCAAATTCGAATCGTCGCGAGAGCTTTCGTCCAACCATTACATACCTATATATCTAATAGTAACTAATCCAAATAAAAATTGAGCATTACCGTATTGACTTAGACCCATAATTGGTAAAAAAAAATCTACTTCTGATCTCCTCCAATAAAGCCTGACTTTGAATACAGTCTAAGGAAAACTAAAACTCAGGTAGAAATCAGTTGATCAGAAGATTTTATTTAAATCCATCCAGTTCTTCCAAATGCGTTTTGGCAACTGTTACTTGATTTATCCTCCGGAATAACGTTTGCAAATTTATTACTAAAATACTGGTTCCATGCAATATTCGGTCGACGGTTCGCACCACGCTTACTCATCTGGAAATGCACATCCTTAGAGACGCCGTACAGTGCTGTTGTTGAGCAGAGTATCGAAAAAGACCCGAATTAGTCCATCAGCCTACGCGCGCAACCTGTTGGAGCTGTGGCCAACCACTTTGCGGAAGATTTTGCAGAAGAATCTCGGCTTGCTGGCTTACAAACTCTCGTTTTAAGAATTGAAGCGGAACGACCATCAAGTGCGTCATACGTTCGGTAAATGTGTACAAAACGAGATGGCCACGGACCACTATTTTCACAAGAAAATTTTTGTTCACTACTATTAGCAGGTAATCATTGCTCCATATTTCCTCAAAAAGCTGGAGCTGGTCATCGTTACATTGACCGGCCTTTAATGCCTTTTACTTGATTGGCCTTTGGTTCCAATAAGACAGTTATACAGGCCATACAACCTGCGAAAAATCAATTTAACGAAGGAAACTTTTGGTGAGCGCATTAACTCGCGTCGTGAGCCGATATATGACTTCAAAAGGGTGGTCGAAAATTTTCTCTCTCGGCTGGAGTTGATGCGAACCAGACACGACGGTCACTTGCCTGAAATAATTTTTACGACATAATGGCAAATACTTATTTTTGTAAAAAAAGGAAAATCCTTGGGGATCTTCGCGAAAACCACATATCCATATCCAAAGCCAAAGTTGTGTTACTTGCAAATGGGTAAAAGATTAGCCAACAATTTTACATTCATTTGAAATTCAATTTACCGTCTGAAATGGATCGGCACAATTAAATCTAAAACGTACGAACTGATATGATAATCCTCCCATAAAGTCGCTTCTGAAAGATCTTGGCTCGATCTCGACTTCTATGCGCCAGAAGTAGATGTCAATGTTTTCGCAAGTAATTTTGAAATCTTCATTCTTCTTCTTCTTCATTAAAGATTTTCGTAAATCAAATATAGACATACAGGGACAGCTAGGACAAAAAGAGTTTTCGTATTAAAATCCGAATGGAAAACTTGACTCGATAAATGATTACAATCAAGATAAAATTTGAATTGAATGCGGACCAGTCTGTCAGTTTGTAAGCTAGTACAAGGGAGTTTTGTAAGCAGATAGGAGGTTTAGTTGGGAATGTCAACCAATCCGAGTGTATTTCTGATATGAAATAAAGCTCCTCTTAAAGAAATCAGCAGCCGTTCGGAGACGGCTTATTATAAACTTTAGGTCCCTCCTTTCATCAAGACACAAAACCACAAATTGGAGGGGGCTCGGCTGGCCTAAATTTTCCAACACTTTTAAGTTTAATCCAACCACTAAATATATGGAAATTTGGAAACGCAGTTAACAGCTTGCTCGATCACGGAACCCTGAACAAGCGCGGTTAGGTGTGCTGGTCCAATGTGATACATGTTTTGGCCCTGTGAAGGAGATTCCTCTCATCCTTCTAGAGAGTCACTCATACTTGGTGTATTCTGTGGTATACCGATGTAAGTTCTGTGAGGCAATCGAAGAAGAAATTGAATTGAGAGGTAATTTTCCACCGATTACTCCTCATCTTTGCCACTGCCGCAGCGACAAAAGTCGTTTCAGAAACAGCCCATCCTTATACCATGATTCCCCACAACACAGTGTCCGGTTAATGCGCCGACTGTTATGCTTTTCGGCTTAGAAGAAGTAACATTGCTCGAATTTCAGTCATTTCTTTTCTAACAACTTAACGACTTGAAACATATCTTCTAATTAAAAAACTCTGATGGAATATTTTATAAATCAAACATCTCCGAGCAAACACGTTTAGTGAATTTTGAAAACACTTTTCCTCAAAAAAAGGCAGATAAATTTGAATTGAATAAATTTTATTATTCTTGCGTTTTATTGTTAAACATTAAAAACTAATTGTAAATCCCAATTAGCACAGGGAAGGTTTCGTATAAATTTTGTTTACTTTTAAACGAAATGAAAGGTTCTTGTAATACTCAAAATCACATTTCATAAATCTATATCTACACGCGATTATATCATTTACCAATAAATCAGGCTCGTATTATCTTTTCAGTAATTGTGTACACAGTGATTCGATCTATTGACGATGACGGTATCTGAAACGACGCACAGTCTTATACCGATAACCGTCTTGAGCCAACTCGGCACTTTTCACCTCGGGCACTACAGCAATATCATTGCTTGGTGGCAAATATTCATTGCTGGGGACATCAGCACTGTCAGCAACGGCAACTTCTTCAGCGGCTTCAGCCTCTCGACGATGACGACGGAACTTCAGACGACGCACTGCCTTATAACGATAACCATCATCACCTAAAACTGTCTTCAATTCCGGCGCCAATTCAACTTCGACGGGCGGCAAGTATTCAGCCGATGGCAATGAAGTCAATTCAGAGACATCACGACGATGGCGAGCACGGAATTTCAAGCGACGTACAGTCTTATAGCGGTAACCATCATCAGCGATGCGTGTCTCNTAAAGAAATATTATAGATGGTCTTAATTTACTTATTTTTCTGAAAATGGCAACGTTAAAAATGGTAACAGCTTCAAGTGGACATCAAGTGGCCAAATTATGAA